GCCGGGCGGCCCCCCCGCAGAAAAACAAGCCCCCCGGGGGGGGGGGGGGGAGGCAGGACCCCGCCCCGCCCCCCCGGGGCCCCAGGACCGGGGGGGGGGGGGGACCCCCCCCCCCCTTCCCCCGGGGAGCCCGGGGGGGGGGGGGGGGGGGGGGGGGGGGGGGGGGGTCCGCCCGACACCAGGACAAGCGGGGGGCGAGACCCCCCCGGCCCGGGGGGGGGCAGACCAACCCGGGGCGGGGGCCGGGGGCCGGGGGGGGGGGGGGGTCTCAGCTTCATGTCAGATGCAGCAAAGGCCAAAGCTAGGGCCAAAGCCGCCGCGATGGATGTCCGATGAGTTTTTATTATTTGTATATACGATGTCATGCCCCCGTTTTCCCCTCGAGTGGACCAGCCTCGGATGAGTGCGGCGCATCGCTGTCCCTCCAGACGAATCCCGTGCCCAAGCTCGATGCGTATGCCGCGTCCTGAGCCACGCGGGGCCGCATCCCCGCAGCCCCGCGATCAGCCCTGGCAAGCTGTAGCCCTCAGGGTGCCCTCAAGTCTGCACCGCCGCAGAGTGAGGCGTGCCCACCTGCTGCAGCAGCTGCGCCAGCTGCTGTGGCTGCTGAGGCAGGGAAGGGAGCGCACTCGCCCCAACCTGCTGCAGCAAGTGCGCTACCTCCTTCTGCTGCTGAGGCGGAGGCGCGTTGGCCGCACTCGGGCCGGGGAGCGCGCTCGGCCCAGCCGGTGGCGCGAGCGACGGCGGCGCGAGTGACGGCGGCGCCTCGTGCTTCCGCAGCACGCCTGCGTGGTAGAGAAAGTCGAAGTTGCCCGGCTGCTTGATGGCGGCGACGACGTCCCGCGCCTCGAGCAGGATCGGAGGGGTTAGGGTTAGGGTTAGGGTTAGGGTTAGGGTTAGACGTCCCGCGCCTCGAGCAGGATCGGAGGGGCACGAGGCAGCGGCGGCGGCGTGCCGGGCGGCGGCGGCGCTGGCGGCGGCGCAGGAGCAGCTGGAGCGGCCGCCTCGCCCCCTGGCGCGGGAGCGGGCGGCGCGGAGACAGAGAGCGGGCTCTCCTCGCCACCGACGGCGGCGACGACTGATGCGGCGGCGGCGGCGGCGGCGGCAGCGGCAGCGACGGCACCGGACGCAGCGGCCACAGCGGGCAGCGATGGTTCTCCCTCATGTCCGCGCTCTAGTCCGCCCTCTGGCGTCGGCCGCTTGCCCAGCGCCGAAGGAGGCCTACTCTCGGCTGATCTCGGCTGATCTCACTCGCCGAGCCGCGAGCCAAGCCCCGACGTCTCGAGCCGCCTAGCAGCCTCGCACGCCGCTGCAAGCTTGTCGCTCGGCGCCAGCTGCGCCCCCTCCGCCGCCGCCCCCGCGCCGCGGCTCTGAGCCGCGCGCCTCTGCGCCGCCAGCAAAGAGCGCTGCGCAAGCTGCTGCGCGACGAGCGCGGCGAGGCGGTCGCACAGCCGAATCGCGCTTTTGGTCAGCCGCGCCCCGCCCTCCGCACCTGCGAGAGAGAGGAGGCGAGACAGAGCCGAGACGTGGCTGTTGGTCAGCCCCCTGGCGTCGCAATCTCGGGTAATCTCGGGTAATCTCGGGTCATCTGCGCGCCCTCGGCCGTCGCAGTCGCGGCGACGATGGACGAGGCCGGGAAGTAGCGGCGCCGCTCGAGCGCGGGCGGCTCCGGCAGTCGCTCCGCCTGCGGGCAGCAGCAGCTGGCAGTCGGACAGCTGGCGTGGTTAGTGATGGCGTGAGGAGCTAGGCGATGCGTCGGTGTCGCCTGCCGGTACTGCTGCGCGAATGCCCTCCCGCCCGCGCGCCCCTTTGCGGCGAGTGCGCGCTGCTGCGAGTCGGAGCCGCCCGCGCTGCTGAATCCGTTGTGGTGCACCTGTTCACAGCTTCAGCTGTGAAGAGGCGCCGTGCACAAGCCCCTCCCTCGGCGAGTCCGCCGCGACCATCGCGAACGGCTCGCTCGTCGCGCGGAGGAGAGGCGCGCTCCCCGCCCCCTCCGCAGGAGCCGGCTGACCGAGCAGCGCGAAGCGGAAGCGCCGCCGGCTGTGCGACGACGACATCGCCGTCAGCCGCAGCCTCAGGTCCGCAGGCCCGCCCTTGTGCACCACCGTCTGACAGGTGCCGACGAGGGCGCTGGCGGCGGCCTCGGGGAGGAGGGGCGAGCCGTCCTCGTACTCGAGCAGCAGCCGCACGCCTAGGGGGAGGGGCAAAGACGAGTCCAGGACATGTCACGTCCTCGTACTCGAGCAGCAGCCGCACGCCGACGGGCTGCGCGGGCGAGCCGGCGGCATCCTTTGCGGTGACGCGCACGACGACCACCTGAAGAAGGGCGAGGGGCGCTTGGAGGGTGGCGAGGGGCGCTCAGTCCGGGGTGGGCGGGTGTGTGGGGGGGGGTGGGGGGGGCTGTGTGTGTCTGCTCTCACCCTCTTGTCGAGGACCAGCCCGCCCGAGGCGTCGTGGTTCGCGTACTTTGCGACGAGGCTGAGCCCGAGCGAGGCTGCCGGCCCACCCACAGGCACGGTCGGAAGGGCCTGACATACCAACCGCCACCCGTGAGCCAGGGAGTAGTCCGCAGCTGCCGCCCTCTCACGCAAGAGCGGCGCTGCCGGCGGTCGCGGCAGCTTCGGCGGCAGGCGAGGCGCTGCCCCTGCGAGGCGCGACCCCTTGCCCGGCGCTGCGAGGGCGACCTTGGGGGCATGTCGAGGACGTGTCGAGGACGTGTCGTGGACATGTGCATGTCGAGTGGCGAGATGTGGGGAGATGTGGGGAGGTGTGTGTGGAGAGATGGAGGGGGAGAGAGGACGCCTTAGCCTCGATTGCGGCGCGGTGGGCGGGCTCGAGGTCGCGGCGGCGGAGGAGCACCTGAGAGAGGGGCGAGGTGGGGGAGGGAGGGGACGGTGGGGAGGAGGGGCGAGGTGGGAAGAGGGGTGTGGAGAGGGAGCAGCGTCGGGATGCATCTCTGCTGCATCTCTGCTGCATCTCTGCTGCATCTCCGCAGCATCTCTGCTGCGCCTCATACTCCATCAGCGCCTCGCGCACACGCCCGCTCTTGAGGGCCATGTTCGCCGCCGAGATCTGAGCGACCGCCTTGCCGGACATGCGGCCCGCGGCGAGGAAGAAGGAGCGCGCCGCCGCGTAGTCGCCGCGCTGGTTAGCCGCGTGCCCGTCTCGCATCGCCGAGTCTGCGGCGCCTGCAGGAAGGGGTTCCGGGAGGGTGCGGGGAGGGCTCGAGCCTCCCCTCTCGCATCGACAAGCCCGCGGCGCCGGCTGCAGCGCCGCTCGGGCCAGCCATCGCGGCGGCCTGGCGCATGCCTGCCTGCTGCATGCCGGCCTGCTGCATGCCGACGAGGTAGGCCTGTTCACAGCTAGACGCGTGAACCGCGTCTCTTCACAGCCTCGCGCATGCGAGGTATAGGCCTGCGTGGCGGCGCCCTGCGCCTGGCCCGCCCCCGTCTGCCCCACGCCAATCTGCATCCCGACCGGGTACTGCGCGGACGGGTACGCCGCCCCCTGCCCGCCCGCCACCTGCCCGCCCGCCACCTGCCCGCCCGCCATGGGGTGACCGCAGCACGGGTGGCCGAGCGGCATCGCGCCGCCCCGAGGCACGCCTCCAGCCGGCACGCCCATCCCGGGCGCGCCTCCCATGTACCCCCCCGGGCCGAGCTGCAGCGGGTACTGCGACGGGCAGAAGGCCATCGAGGGCACCGCCGCCATGCACTGCGGCGCCAGCTGTGCAGGGACGCAGCGAGGCAGGTAGCCCGCCGTGGCGCACTGCGGCGCGGGATTCGCCGCCCCGACGCAGAGCGGCGCGGGAGGAGCCTGCGTCGGGGCGGCGCCCGCTCGCTGCAGCGCAGGAGGAGCCTGCTCAACGACGCCGGCGCAGAGAGGCGTGGGAGGCTGCAGCTTCGGCTGCGGCCGCGGCGGCGGCTGCGCCGGCGGCTGTACGGCTACCGCTGCGCACCGCGATGCGCCCGCAACTTTCGCACCGCCGGGTGCCGGGTGCCGGGTGCCGAGCGGCGATGGATTCGCACTGAAGGCAGCAGCGATTGCGGAGGCTGCGGCAGCGCCCAACGCCGCCGCCTGCGAGTTGGCTGCCGTGACCGTGGCGCCCGTGCAGCCCTCGGCCGCGACAACCTGCTTGACCGGGGCGTCAGCCATCGGCGCGTGAACGATCGCTAAGCGACGCGGGATGCGCTGACTTCGACTGTTGCGCTCGCCCCGCCAACGAGGCGAATGCTGAAAAGAAAAACAAAATTCCCCGCCTCTTTCTCCAACCCCTGTGGTTTCGACTCTGGGGGCCTTAGGGGCCCAATTTGCCGAAGGATAATGTAACGTGCCTATATGGGCTTCCAGCATCGGACCTTCAAGACATGCGCTTTTCAGTGTACTCTCTCTCTCAGTGTGTGTATGTACGTACTTTTAGCTTACTGGGAGACAAGGGAGAGGGAGGCGCGATTTCTAGACCCTTGGGGGCCCTACCACTCAGCGCAGTCGGAGAAGCCGGTGAACGAATCTTCGGAGAGGATGGGGCAGTCATCACTGCCGCGCTCACTGGGTTCGAGAGATTGTGCGAGAGATTGTGACTAAAAAAGACGAGAATCGCAGCGCCCAGGGAGTCGCTCACGCGACAGGGTGGCTCGTAGCATCGTACATGCACAACTATGCCACCGAAAAGAAACTGTGGGCAAGTACTCTCACAAATCACATCCCTTCCGGCGACTGTTGGATCCTGAGCGGTGGAGGCGCAGTCGGCGTCGGGGATCGGCCCCAACAGGCCCAGGGGAGCCAGGGGAAGGACTCGTCCTCAGTCACCTGTGCCTCCGCAGCAGGTCGCTCCACTCCAAAGAGATGCCCACAGGGGCATCGCACTGCGGTGATCTGGTCGATGAGCTTAGCTGAAAGCGCAGCGTTGCAGCGCGGACAGGAAAAGCTACGCGCCTCAGAGACGCCGGCCTTTAGTCGACGGATCTCGGCCTCGCTTCGAGAGGCGCGATATTCAGCCTCGGCAGCACGCGCTTCGGCCGCTTTCAAGCGCTCCCCCAGACAGCTCTGCTCCGAGGCAGCGGGGGCGCGTGCCGGAGAGGGAGCGGGGGTGACCGCCGGCGGACTAGGGTCCGCCGGCGGACTAGGGTCAGGCATGGTGTCCATAGCTCCTCCAAACAAAGAATGCGAGGCATGCACCAGCCAGTCAGGCTCCTCCTCCTTCTCCACATCATGCGGCTGGTCCGGCGCTGCGTCGAGTGAGGATGTGCGGGCGAGCATGCCCTCGATCGCGGCGCCGGGGACGTCCTCTCCAGCAATCGATGGTGGCGGCTCCGATGCCATCCTAGAGATGCGTGTGAGAGTCGTGGGACACTCTCCGCCTCCTCGCGAGTCGCCGCGGCCGTCGCGGCGGCGGTTGCACTAGTGTCAAGTTTGATGGACGGCCGACCTGACCCCATTTACACCTCGGACGGACGCGGCAAGTCAAGTCATGCATCAGACAACAGATCTGCTATCTGATTCTACTTTCTAGATACTAGATAGCACGCGCCGGATGCAGCACCGCCGGCGCCGCGCACGCCACCGTGGGCGTGGCGCAGGCCGCAGCGGCGCAGCGAGCAGCGTGCTGTTTTATAAGTTTTTCTCTCTTAACTCTCAAGTCACAAAAATGAATCACACAACTCACAGTGCGGGGCGAATCAGTCACAGGGTCTCAACTCTGCCGATGATGCGGGCGGCCGGAGCATCATGTCGAGCAGGGGCGGCGACTGGGCACCTGAGCCGGCTCTTGCCAGGTCAAGAGAGCCGTGCGCCGTGGCGGCGCCGGCGGCGCTGCTACCCGCGGCGGGAAGCGCTGCCGCCGCCGCCGCGCTGCCGTCGGCGGAGGCGACCGGAGCTTCCGGATCGGCGCCGGTCGCCGCGGGCGGCAGCGGCTCGAGGGCGGCGAGGCCGTCTCCCGACCCTCCGCGGGAGGGCGTGGGGAAGCGGCCGGAGCTCGAGCCGGAGGTGGCGGAGCCGGCGGAGTGGCCGAAGCCGCCCGGCGTGGGCAGGCGTCCCGAGCTGCACGCGGACCCCGCGGCGCCAAAGCCGAGCCGCATTGGCGACGCTCCGGTGGAGGAGCCGCACGAGGAGCCGCCGGACGAGTCTTGCCGCCGCCGCGCGGCGGGAAAGTTGGCGGGCGAGCCGAGGTCCCACTGCGGCAGCGGCGTGGCGGTGCCCGAGTCGGTGGAGGGCGGTTGGGCCGGCCCCGCGGCCGGAAAGAGCGCGGGCGACGCCGCAAAGAGCGGCTGCGCGGCAGGCGGGCCGGCCGCGGCCGGCTCTCGGTCGTCGAGGCCGCCGCCCGGCGCAGCGAAGAGGGCGGCCTCTTGCAGCAGGTGGCCGACGCGGGCAAGCGCCGGCGCGTCGCCGCCGCCCCACCGCTCGACGCAGGCGCCGTAGTCCGGGTCGTCGACGCGGACGGTGTAGGCGTCGGCGGCGTCCTGCTCCTCGAGCGGGAAGAGGCAGGCGTCGGAGGCGCAGCAGATGAGCACCTCCTCAAAGCTGATGGCGCGGAGCACGAGCGACGAGCCGCAGGAGGGGCAGCGCTGGAGCGAGGCGGGAAGCGACGCCGCCAAACCCTCAGCGGCCCCGCTCGATAAGAATTTTATATTGCCCGCCACCCCACACTGCCACTTCCGGTGAACCTTCTTTTCTAGACCGGAAGGATTGAGAGCAGCCTCGCTCTCAATCCTAGAAGTCGAAGGATTGTGAGCAGCACTCCTCGCAATCGTAGCATCTCTGTGCGATTGCTAGCACCCACGCTCGCAATCCTACATCTTCTAGGACTAAGAGCAGCTCCGCTCCCAAGGTGACTGGTGACGCCTACGACTACTACCAGCGCGCTCGCAATCCGAGCAAAGTCTAGGTTTGCGAGCAGCACTGCTCGCAATCCTAGCAACATGCCTCCGATTGCGAGCAGTAGCGCTCGCAATCCTACATCTTGTAGGACTATGAGCGGCGGCGCTCACAATCGTACCCAAGATCCGAGGATTGCTAGGAGCGCCCTCGCGAGGCATGTGTCGAGTCACGCGTAAGCACATGATGGACCATCACATCTCGACGTGTGAGCTCAGCCAGCGGCTGGGGCTCGACTCGATCGACATGTACATCGCCCGCCGCCAGCTGCGCTGGCTCGGCCACGTCGCGCGCATGGACTACGACCGGCTGCCGCGCCGCATGCTCTCCGCGTGGGTGCCCCACCGGCGGCCCATCGGTGCGCCGCGCATGACTTACAGGCGGTCGATCTTCAAGGCACTCGCGAAATTCGGCATCGACTCGGCGCGCTGGCATCTACTCGCGGCTGATCGCGCTGCGTGGCGCGAGACGCTGCGGTCAGGCCTCGCCCCGGCCGAGTTCCGCCCGCCTCCAGCTCCTCCGTCGCCCGAGCGCATCTCGCGCACTAAACCCGTGCGGGGCTGCACCGCGGCCACGATGGCTCGCGTTAGCGCTTCGCTGCGCCTCTTGGCTTGAGTCAGGCTTCGGGCCTGGCCTAATCGCTCGCGCGCGGGTGTGCCTGCTTGGCTCAAGCCAAACAACAACAAACACTACTGTATGGCTCTCTGATGCCCAATGCGTGCACTCGTCCCTCTCTGTATGTGTGGGTTCGTGTGTGCGGGGGCCCTCCTTGTCTCTGCCTAGACAGTGTGAGGTAACACCTACCTACCTACCTACCTACCTAGTGCGCGATATTGCAGATTTGCGAGAGTCTGTCTGGGCGGGTTCCGAAAACCGTGAGATTTTAGTTAAAACTGTGGTTCTCGACCGCCAACTCCCTCGCATCCCGCGTTTTTCTTTTTATCGGAGACGGCGTGCAGAATCTCAAGGCGCCGTGCATTTTGGAAGTCGAACACACACATCGACACACACACAGGTCGAGGTCAGCCCGCCCGAATACGCGGCCGCGCGCCGCCTCACCCCCGATCGTTCCTCACGCCCCTACCACGCCGCGCGCGCTCGTCACTCGGCCGCGCCGCACGCGCTGCGCTCGCGCCGCCCCCCCTCCCCCGGCGGGCTGCCGCTGAACGCAAACTTGTGACCGCCGCCCCTCCCCCATACCCAGCAGAGGCAGGCATGCGCAACCCCTCCGGCCGCTCTCCCGCCGGGTGCACTCTCATCGGCATCCTCGCTATGCTCGCGGCGCCGGCCGACGCGGTCCGCTGTGTCACTCCTACCTGCCAGTGCGAAGCGCTCAAGGCGGTGTATTCGGACCTGCAGATCTCAGACATCCACACAGGGTTCCCGGGCACGGAGGCCGACTGCTGCAAGCTGTCCGACGTGCGCTGCAACGACGCCGGCGGCATCACGGACCTCAAGCTGCGGGGCGGCACCTCGACGCCCTCCGGCGTGATCCCGCTCGAGGGTCTCAAGGGCCTTGTCTAGGAAGTGTCTAGGAAGTGTCTAGGAAGTGTCTAGGCGTGATCCCGCTCGAGTCGCTCAAGGGCCTTGTCGAGCTCAACAGGCTCGACCTCGGCAAGGACAGCTCCTCCTCCATCTCGGGGACGATCCCGGGCTCGCTCGCGACAGTGGGCAACCTCCGCGACCTCACCCTCACCGCAAAGCGCCTCTCGGGCACCCTCCCAGCAGAGCTCCTCGGCGCGGATGCCAAAGGTCGCCTCGAGGAGCTGAAGGCGCCGAGAGACAGCCGAGAGATGCAGCCGAGAGAGACAGCCGAGAGACACAGCCGAGAGACACAGCCGAGATGTAGAGGGACACGTCGAGGAGCAGCGACCAGCATCCCCTCTCCCTCCCTCGCACTACCGCGCACCTCGGCTGCCCCTCGGCTGCCCCTCGGCTGCCCCTCGGCTGCCCCTCGGCTGCACCTCGGCTGCCCCTCGGCTGCACCTCGGCTGCCCCGCTCGGCTGTAGGTGACGGGCCGCATCTCCGGCACCGTCCCTGCCTCGTACTGCGAGTCGCCGAGTCCAAAGCAGGGCGAGTCCAAGGTGAGCTGCGCCTGCACAGCCAGCTGCACTCCCGCCATGACGCCTCGGCTTTCCCTCGGCCGCTCCTCTCGGGCGCAGCAGGGGGAGCAGGCGGCGGTACGTCCGAGACCTGCACCAAGGTCTGACCCCTCTGCGTCACCTCGGCCGCACAGGAGTACGGCATGCTCCAAGATCTCGAGCTTGGCGACAACGAGCACCTCTCGGGCACCCTCTCCTGGTCCTGCTTCACGCAGCAGTACCTCGAGGAGCTCCGGCTCGACTCGACCGCCCTCTCCGGCACTCTGCCCCAGTTCGTCGACTTGCCGAGGATCGAGGCGAGAGAGCAGCAGAGACGTAGCAGAGGCGAAACAGCACCCGGAGATCACCCGAGATCTTCCCCCTCCCCCCCCCCCTCTCTAGTAGCCCGGCAGCAAGCAGCTCTGGGACGAGACCCGTGCATCTCCCTCCCCACAGGACATGGACCTGAGGCAGATTGAAGTGATCGACTTCTCCAACAGCGGCCTCTCCGGCACCATCTCCGACGGCCTGCGCCGCTCAAAGAGCCTCCGCTTCCTCGAGCTCTCGCGCGCCGGCGTCTCGGGCACGGTGCCGAGACTTACCCGAGACTACCCGAGACTTACCCGAGACTACCCGAGACCTGGCCGAGAGACCGCGTCTCGGGCACGGTGCCTCCCTCAGCCGCGACGCCTCCATGACACGCCCATGACACGTCCTCGAGACACGCCCCCGTGCAGGTGCCCTCCTTCCTCAACTCCCTCAGCCTCGACGGGCCGGGCGCCTCCTGCAGGCTCGACTCGCCGACACGCCCGCGTGTCCCCCTCACACGTCCCATGACACGCGCATGACGCGTCCCACCATCATGTGCATGTGCGCGTCCTGCGCGCAGGCTCGTCGACGACACGCACAGCGGCAACTTTCAGTGCCCGCTCCCGATGGATGTCCCCTCCTGCACCCGCATCTACGGGCAAGAGATCGACTGCGAGTATGACTACGCGTCGCCGCCGCCGCCGCCGCCGCGTGGTTTCGACGCAGCACGCCTCTCGACGAGGCCTTGCTCGCGCGGGCAAGCCTTAGCCGGAGCGTCGCGGGGCCTTCCTTGTAGGGCTTGGACGACCTCTCGCCGGGCATGATGGCGCTCCTCCTCCTCTTCTGCCTGAGCGGCGCCGGCGCCGCGGTCCACCTCGTGAGGCGCTCGCTCGCGCCGAGGAAGTCGATCGCAGAGGCGGCTGCGATGGCGCTCGAGATGCAGGCGGGCTCTAGGGCTGGCTGAGGGCCGTCGCGACACTACACAGACACGACTCTGTTGTGAGCGCGACCCTTGCTATCGCTAGGTGGGGGACATCAAGGTCGTGAAGTGATGTGCCGGAGGAGGGTTGCGAGTTCGGGCCGGCCCAACTCCATTCGGGCCCACAGCGCAGCTTGAGCGCAGCATGTGTGCACGTGTGTGGGTGTTGACTGTGCTCTGTGGGGCCATCACCGGGCCTTCGAGCAGCAACCAGCATATACGCACCCCTTGGGGTTGCGTTCGCGCAGTGGCGACGGACGGGGAGTCACAGCCCTCACACTGACACGGTGTTCTCTCTTTTTCTCTCTCGCCGTGAGGGGGGTGCGGGTGGGGGTTTCACCATGCTTGTGCTACACACATTCATTCCACAAGCACATAGTACAGTAAATATAATTACACAGTAAAATATGCGCATGCAACTACGATGAAACAAGGTACACTGCTCACGGCGACCGGTGGCGGTGGCGCGCCTAGCTAGAGAGTATGATATGATCTGGGACTGGGTGCGTTACACAAGCGTGGGTGGGCAAGCATCAGCAAGATGCATACCCATACGCACACATCAACGAAAGCCTGAAAGGGGTCTCTCCGCCGGCCCAAGCCCAAGAGAGCGCAAAGGCCGCCGTGCAGCACGACGCTTTTGCCCCGCCCGCGTAGTTCAGACGGAGAACGCTTCATCTATCGTGCCGTGGCCAGCAGCTCCTGATCCTGCAACTGCACTGGCCTCCCCCCAAGAGCCAGCAGCTCCCGCCGAAGCTACGAGGCTCATCTCGCAATCAACGGATGGCCCGCCAATCTGTGCGCTCGTGAGTGGCGGGAGGTAAAGCTGTAGCGCTTCCCTCCGATGCACATACAGATGCAGCTGTCTGAAGGGCGTGAGGTCGGGGTGGAAGGGAGTCAGCTTCTCCCCGCTCGACTGGAGACGAATGAGCTCGGCGTGCAGCACGCGAAAATCGGCCAGCCCGATGAGCCGAGACCGATTCGCATCGAACGCCGAGAGCGCGAGCACAGCTTGCTCGCTGTCGGTCGCGACGCCGAGCGTGTGCATCGCCGCGCGCAACTGGCTCGCGGCGATGGTGCCGGTGCGGTGGACGTCGTGAGCGTGGAACACGCGCCGCACCTCCTCCTCCCGATCTGATTCGAAAGCCGCGGCCTCAGTCTCTCCCTCAACACCCTCCTGCTCCGCCGTGCCCTCGGCCTCTGACCCCTCGTCGGTCGCCTCGACCTCTACTCGCAGGGCATGGGCCTCTACCTCAGCTCTGGCCGCCGCCATTCGGACGGCCACCCTCTCTGCGTCCCTCCGAGCCAACTCCAGCTGTGCCCCCGCCTCCGCAACCTCCGCCTGCAGCTTCTCCATCGCCAAAGCGCGGAGATCAGCCGCCTCGATCTCGGCGGAGACGCGGCCGTGGCTGGTCTTGATCTTCTCCACCTCTGCCTGGAACTGAGCGTACTCTGCCCTGTTGGTCTTTTGCAGCTCCCGCACCCGTTGCCGCAGCGCCGCCGTGTCGATCTCAAGCCGGCCCTTGTTGCCGTGGCAAGTCGCTGCGGCCATGACGAGCCCCCTGCCGGGGCTGATTGCCGTGTCCGGCGGATGAGGGCGCGTCACTGCGCTCTGAGCGAATATCGTCGACGGTGCGTAAGGGCCGCGGCCGGGTAGCGCCGGCGCGGCGTCCGCACAACTCCCATCGCTAGCCTGTCGCCCAAGCTGCGTCGCCAGCGATCGTACCCGCCCCGTCATCCGGTGCATGCTGCGAGAGGTCTTGCCCGCGACGCTCCAAAACACTTCACGGTACGCGGCCGAGTCCATCCGGGGAAGCGTCGACATCCGCCGGCGCTCGTGCGCAACACGTGCGCTGCGCAGCGTGTGCTCGCGCACGATGGAGCCGCAGGTGACGATGCCGACGATGGCGCCGACGATGAGCTGCGTGAGGACGGAGGGGTCAGTCTGAAGCCGCTCGTTGAACTGGTCAAAGAAGCCGTCGCAGTGCTTGGTGACGAGCGGGAGGGGCGGCGACGATGGCGACGTCGAGTTGGGCCCCTCCGTGGCCGAGTCGAGCCGTGAAATCTCCTCCGAGTGCTTTGCGTCGACAGAGTGGTGGAGCGCAAAGATCACCGAGGTGAAGCAATGAATCACGAGGCCTGCTCACACCACCGGCGTGAGACGAGGCGCCGCGCAACGCCGACGCGCCGCTGCCGTGCGCGCGCACCTAGCGGTACGTACACCGCCACCGCCTCAAAGGTCAGCCGGTCCGAGGTGACGGTGATGCCGCGAAAGATGCGGAGCAGGTTCGACTTGTCGACTTGCCACGCGCAGAGGATGTAGAAGAGGGTCAGTGGATAGATGGCAGGGATGGCCTGTCCGCGTGGGCAGCGGATCAGCGTCGTGGGGCGTCTCCCTCCGCGCGGGCCGCCGGAAGCGATGCAGAGGTGGGCGAGTGTCGAGCGTCCCCGTGGGTGCGCTCACAGTTGAGAAGGTGAGGCCGTAGACGATAAACTTGAGAAGCAACTGAGGGACGGCGGCAGCGCATGAGGCTTGGCGCGCGCGGGACTGCGGCCGAGCGCTGACTCGTCGGGCGCACCTGATAGCGGAACGGGAGGTAGAGAGGGTTGGTCACCGAGTAGTGGCCCGCCGCTGTTGGTAATCCGCCGCTGTGAACAGGTGTGTGTTGTTAGCAGCTAGGGTTTGAGAGCCCCTCCCTGTGTGTTGTTTGCTGCGCTGCTCTACCTGCGGCCGGGCTCCGACGAAGAACTGTGGGGCAAGCGAGTACCCGCCTGCTGATAGACGTGTCGGCTGGCACAGCGCGCCAGACGCCAGAGCTCGACGCACCATATGTGTTCCGGACGGCGTGAAGAGGTGGGGCGTGCAGCGGTGCACTAGAGCTCAGAGGCGCAAGACAACCTTGAAAGAAGAACACGAAAACTGATATCTTTGCCCAGGTTGGGTCCGAGGAGCGAGGCTCTCGAGGAGGCCCCGACGGAAGACGTTTCGAGCGAGAGCCGGGCGAACGGTCTGTGAGAAGGCCGCAAGAAATCGCCTCCTTCCTAATTTAGGGTCCTCCCTCAAGTTTCGGGACCGGTTAGGGGGTGGCGGCAGGCCCCTGGCGGTTGATTGATTGATGGGAAGGCGAAACACAGTCCGACCAACGACTGGGATAGGCGGTTATGTCGAAGGAAGAGAACTCGGCTCTCGAAAAAAGAAAATTCTCGCGGGCGTTCGCGCCTCTCCATCGCCGCTCGCCGCAGCGCGGGGGAAAGAGCGGGACGCTCGTACCGAAGGCCCAAAATCCGCTACTACAGCGCAATGTCGAAGCGGCCTCGTCCCTCCCCGCCTCTGTATCTGCTGCGCCTTCCGAACCTGCTCTCGCATGCGGACATTGCCCGCCTCGAGCGCATCACCAAAGACACGACCTACTCAACTGCCTACGAGGCGCCGGCCCTGTGGCTCCCGAGAGGAGAGACATATTATGTGTCCTCATCCGCTACGTGATGATAGGACCGCCACGTCGGCCACGTCTCCCGCATCATCTGGCGCGCAGCCGAAGCGCGCGGCTCGCTCCGTCGCTCCCTATCGGCCACCGGCGGTGTCGAGCTCTTAGGCGGCCGCCCCGCCGCGCCAAGGCTGCCGCCACAAGCAGCGAGACGACGGGCAGCAGCGGCACGGCAGCGCTGCTCGCCGGCTCGGAAGACGAAAGCTCGGAAGACGAAGACGAAAGCGACGACGCCGACTTCGATCCGGATGACCCAGGCGACCAGCGCACACGTCGGAGACGGTGAATAGTGGCGCTGAGGCCTCCTCTTGTGCCCCGCAGACCCTTGCAGCTGCTTTGCCCACCACGGGGATTGCCCGCAGTTCCTGTTCAAGAGGCTCAAGGCGGCGGTGCGAGAGGGCGCGAGAAAATGGCCCAGTGCTCTGCCCGCGTTCTCCTCTGGGCGGGTGCGGTACGAAAATGTGCACGCAATGTCGTACGGCGTTGGGGACAAGAAGAGCTGGCACCTCGACGCCTTCCCCGCCTCGAAGCGCCCAAAGGGCCCGCCCGGCTTCGAGGATGCGCGCGCTCTCTCGGTCGTGGTCTGCCTCGAGCCCTGCGACGCGGGAGGCGTGTTCGAGGCGCGAGCGGGCTGGGTGACGGAGCCGCCGCCGGCCCTCCCTGCACTGCGCGGGAGCGAGCGCCTGTAGGTGGTCCGCGGCTCGGCGCCGGAGATGCTGGCCAGCGGCGAGCCCTCAGGCTTGCCGGAGGCGGTGCCGCTCCGAGCTGGAGACGCTGTCGTCTTCCCGTCCAAGCGGCTGATGCACCAGGTGTCTGCCGTGACGCTCGGGCGACGCAAGAGCATCGCCCTCTTCGCCCGCACGCCGAGCAAGCCGGTCGCTGCCCAGGAGTCGGACTCGGCCGATTCGGACTTTGACTACGAGGACGAGGACTAGGCGTGACGCGGCACGTGGGGGGGGGGGGGGCGGAGCGCGAGGGCCTCGGGCGCGCGCTTTTGGGCCAGGATGCGGGTCGGGGCTCGGGCACTCGGCTCAAGCGCACAGACGCGCAGGGCTGCGAGGAGCGTGGAGAACGCGGCGGAGGAGCGAGGAGGAGCGATCGCCCACCGCACTTGCGCGCATCGCGGCAGAATTCTTTTTTTCGGGATGGCACCGGAGTGAGAGTCGTGTGACTGCTCCTATAAATAAATAGAGCAGACATTTCCTGGAGGAGATTTTAGGGGGCGACGGAACCCGACGGCGGTGCAGACCGCCCGCCCCGCTCGGAGGGCGGGGTGCAACCCACACAGCACACAGACATATAATTATGTATCTAGGCGCTGCGCCCTTCCGACCGTGCTCCCCGCTGCTGGTGAGGGGGCAGACGACCTTGACATCGCCGGAATAGCGCTTGCCGCCGGCAAAGACGATGACGTTCGACGCGCCGGCTCCCGCGCTATTTGACCGTGCTCTCGTGCCTGGTCGCTCGATCCATGTTTGGCTTCCGCCCGGCTACCACCAGCAGCCTCGTCGGCGCTATCCGACCCTGTATGTGCATGATGGGCAGTGCTGTCTCTCCAACGATGAGGGCGGTAGCAGCGGCGGCGGCGGCGAAGGCAGCCGGTGGGACCTCAACTGCGCGCTCTCGCGCCTCGTCACCGCCGGCGAGATCTCGCCGGCGATCGTTGTGATGCTGGACTCGTGCGGAGGCGGCCATCTCCTTGACATGGACCTGCCGCTCGGGCCAGAGATGCCGCCCGTGCCGCTGCTCAGGCGGAGGTGGCTCGAGTACGGCGACAATCCGCTCGGCCGCAAGTACATCGGCTACGTCTGCGACGTCGTCAAGCCCGCCATCGACGCGAAATTCCGCACCCTGCCGTCGCCGGAGCACACGTCGGCGATGGGCAGCAGCATGGGCGGCCTCTGCGCCTTTCTGAGCGCGTGGCGCCGGCCCGATGTGTTCGCGCACGCAGCCTGCCTCTCGCCCGTCTTTCAGCTGCCGCTCATCACCGAGGTGGCGCTGCGGAGGCGACTGCGGCCGGACGCGCGCCTGTACATCGACAACGGCGGCGACACCGCCCGTGCCAGTGTTGCACGCGTCCACGTCGGGTTGTTTGTTGTAACTATGACCGAGGTGGTTCGTCGGCTCCATTCGCACAGCTGTGCCCCACGCGGCGCGTAGGGCGAGGATGAGGCGCTGGAGGCTACACTCTGCTCGTTCTCAGTGCAGCGCTCTTGTATTCACACCCGCACAGCACCCTTAGGTATTTTTATATTCCCCCACCGGGTGAGTGGGTGGGTGGGAATTTTATATTTAGCAATATGAGCCGCCGTCCCCGAACTCGAGTCCGCCGACCGCTATAGGTCGAGCGGGGAGAGAGGCGCTGCCTCCACAGCGGGGACGGAGGCGACACCTCCGTCCCCACCGCCATTGGTTCGAGCGGCGAGCCTTGGGCTAAGGCTTAGGGCTTAGGTAGAGCGGGGACGGAGACGTGGAAAAGCGTGCTTGTGAGTGGAAGCCACAAGCGCGCTGGCTCCGTTCGTTTTTATATGAGGGTGTTTTCCTGAGGGTGTGTTTTCTTGAAACCTTTTCTTAAACTGGGTAATGAACCCCTGTCACTCCGTGAAGTGAACAGAAGAGAGGTGTGAACAGACTGGCGTGCTGATCGTGAAGAGGCGCCATGTCATCGGACACCGAGAGCACACGGTCTGCGACCCGCGGTCAGAGGTCGCACCCGAGCCGCAAGTCCCCAAGGGGCCGGGCCAGATAAGGCGCGTGCCCCAGCTTTTCACAGCAACAGCATGGTACACGGCCTGGCAAGCCACGTCGAGGGGGAGACCCAGGCGGCGCTGCACCGAGATCCGCATCGCCCGATGAGGGGTTTTTTTTCCGCGACATCTTTGGTCGCTATTCGCTGGCACTCTCTCTTTTAGTAGCGCATGCCGCGGGGCTCGCCGTAACACGGCCCTGCGCTGCGTCCGACCCTAGCAGGTGCCATCCATATATGCGCCGCCCGCTCGACCTCGAGCGCTCCTCCGCACTTCGCCTGCTCGCGGCGGCAGCTTGCGGCGCTGGCGTCCCGGACGCTCAGGGGCGCCAGCCAGAGCTGTCGCAAATTCCTCTCGAGCGCTGCGGCGGCGCCTTTTGTGAGTTCCAGCGCCAACGAGCATGTGAGTACAGCTTGATATGGTCCCAACTGTTGACTGTCCTACAGGCGCCTCCTACTCCGTCGAAGGTCAGAGATTTAGAGCGGTGTTGGACACGGGAAGCCCCTTCCTGCTGGTGCCGGGCCGACTGCCCGCCTCTGGCTGCGATGATCGTTGGGGATGCTACGCCGATTCCACCGCGTCGGTGGCGCTGGGTGACGCAACCACGGAGGGGTTCGGCGGGCAGGATGTCGGCGTGGAGTGGCGGCGTGGCAGGCTCGACTTTGGAGACTTTAGCTTCTCGCCCATCAACTTTGGAGTCGTCACCTCGTCCGTTCGCAAGGGAGGGACGTCCGCGATCTACCTTGGGCTGGTGCGGGACCGCGTGCCTCGAGTCCGGCCGACCCTGCTTGAGCAGACGGACATCCAGTCCTTCCAGTTCGACTTCCCTCGCCGCCGACTCACCCTCGCCCGCAGGCCTCTGCTGCGGCAGCGCGACGCCATCCCGCTGGTCGACCTCCGCCCGCTGGGCGCTCCGGTGGCGCAGTACGCTTGCCGCGTCGAGCGCCTCCTCGTCAACCGAGCGGAGGTGCCGCTCTCTCGGCCGGCGGTGGCGGTTCTCGACACGGGAACCACGGGCCTCGTCCTCTCGGACTCGCTCTACCAGTCGGACGAGCTGCCGCTGCCCGGCGCTGCGATGAGGTACGTGTCAGCGAGACGGGCGCGCTCGTGCCTTCCGGCTCTAGTCTTCCGGCTGAGCTCTCCCTCGCCACCTGCAGGGACGTCGAGGTTATCGTCCGCACGGAGCGAGGGCGACCCGTCGCTCTGCACGCCTCTTCGCGGCGCTACCGGCAGAGCGACGGGGAGCCTGAGGAGTTCCCGCTCATTGTGACGCCGGTGACTCCCCACGCCACTTGCTGTTCCCAGACGCCGCCTCGTCCCAGACCCATCCCACTGCCCTCGGTCAGCCTCCCTCCGGTCTTACGTCCACGACACGACCACTCCTCGGCAGGTGAGCCTCCCCTGGTTTGGCCTCTCCGCCCCGACTCCGCTCGGCACTCCGCTAAACTTCGACTCGTCGCTGCCGCCGGCCGACTCTGCGCCGAGGCCCATCGTGCTCCGCCCTCGTCCCGCCTCTGCGCTCGACCCGGCGGCGCAGGCGAGGAGGTCGCGGCTGCGCCGAGCGCGGCTCGCATCTCGCGGGCCTATTTTAGCCGAGACAAATAGCCGAGCCTTTCTATTTACCTACCTACCGCTTGACAGCTCCCCGGGATTAGCCTAGCAGTGAGTAAGCAACCGTCCGTGGTGTGAGATTTTAATGCCTCGGCCGCGACACCAGCCACAACACGGGCGGGTCGCGTGAGACGGCGGGCTGTGCCAAGGCAGGCAGGTGTGCACTCTGGCACTCTGCTAGTACTTGTGTGCTCACACCACGACTACACTGTGGGGGGACGGGTGCTTGAGCATGAGCCTATTTGTAGCCGAGATGCAGCCGAGATGCAGCCGAGATGCAGCCGAGATGCAGCCGAGATGCAGCCGAGGTGCAGCCGAGGTGCAGCCGAGGTGCAGCCGAGCTGCAGCCGAGGTGCAGCCGAGATGCAGCCAAGCAACAGTCTCAATGCGCGACGGCAGGCGTGAGGGGGAGGCTGCAGAGCCGCACGTGCTCTTCCTCGGCCTCGCCTTCCTCTCGCAGCTGCAGCTGACGGTCGACCTCGACGCGATGCGCATGAGCGCTGTCGAGGCGCCAGCGACGCCCGGCAGCGCGGAGTCCTTTGGCGTGCGACGCTGGTGGTCGCAGCGCCCATGACGCATATGCAAGGGTCAAGCCGGGCGTGCATATTTCTCACAGGAGACGCAGCTCGCGACCTTTCGAGTGCGCAACTTGTGTTCGCGCTCGCCACGCACCCGCGCGGGGCGTGTGTCTGTACGAGTGTGGGCACGGTTGTCCTCCGGCGAGCCGCAGAGAGACGAGTGGTGAGCTCTTGTACATTCACCAATCATTCAGATCTTCATCCATGATGAAGAGAGCTATCCCATCATGGATATGGTAGTACATTGCAATTCTGCTCGAGCGGACTGTCACCAAAGACACCACACACTACAGAACGCTCAGGCCCCGCCCCCCGCGGCGCGGCCGGCCCTCGCCACTGACGTATACGGTGGGGGAATATGCGCGCTACTACGCACTACGTCTTTCCCCTCGTCCTCCCTCGCCCTCCCCACCCCAACGCGCGCAACCACGGCGGCGTGCCCCGTTCGGCCGGGGCGTCCTGGGCGGGCAAACGCCCGCCCCGGCGGCCGACTCTGGGATTGTAGGTCGAGTCTTGGTGGTACGGAGACGGTCACGAGACGGGACGGACGGGACCTCCGGACTCTAGGACGACGCCACGGGACTCTAGGAGAGAGAGTGTGAAGGGAGTCTGGCGGGGCTTTGGCCCGACGTCCCACATCAACATCCTCAACATCGCCTCACGCCGCGTTCCGTACAACCTTTGCCGCAATCTGGAGTGGCAGGTGTGTGCCGCGCAGGGCAGGCTACCGGGACAGGGCAGCAACACCGTCCTCTTCGCCACCTCTCCAAACAGCCTCGACCCAAAGCCGTCCTCGAGCCGGCCTCTCGGCCAGTGCGGCGGCTGGAAGCCAGACCGGCCCCCTCCTGGCGGCTACGGCTACGCCAATTTTGACATCTTCTACCTCGAGGCTTGCGTGTTTGATCAAATCTGCACCAATGGCGCCGATATCTTCAACTCGCACGGCGGGCCGTTCCACTGCCAGTTCTCAGAGGAGCGCTTCCGCGAGCTCGAGCGCGTTCTCTCGCAGCCATTCGTGGAGCCGTTGGAAGACAAGTGCGACGCTCCTAGGAAGGGGTGAAGTGTGCGGGCGTGTCGAGCACGAGGACGGGCACACGTCGACGAGAGGGAGACCAGTGACGTGGTTTGAGGGCGTTACGTGGGCGGCAGCGCGGGTCCACCGGGCTGAGGTCTGCCGGAGAGTCACTGGGAGTGGCGCGGCTTCAAGCGAGAAAGGACTGGGGTCTGAGGCGGGAGGGTAGTGCCTAAGATGGCGGGGGGTAGGTCGATCGAGCAGGGCGAGAGGGCGAGAGACGACGCGACGGCAACATATGCAGGTTCCCCCGAACGTTACGTTACACAATTGCTAGACACTCTTAGACAGCAGCTCGACGATTACTGTTCTGCTGTGTCGTGTATGGAGATTCGCGACCCCAGCCGTCTCGTGTCGACCTCGCGACTCGCATCAGCTCGCGCTGCCTCTCGTCTGAGATTGGGATTGATGGTAGCAAACACATGTTTCAAAGCGGACAGCTCTCCGAACATGCGGTGAGAGAGAAGTGCACAGTGTACGTACGGTGTACACCTCGGTCTGGGGCGGGTCTAGCTCTAGGAGCGAGCGCCGAGCGAGAGCCGAGAGAGAGAGAGAGGAGACGGACACTGACGCGCGTGCTGAGCCGTGAGCGCCGTGACGGAGGTCTCCCCCCGGAACGAGTTTTAGTTTGAGAGAGAGGGACCGACGTACTGACGGCGTATCATCATGCATGGGCTCAGCACCAAAATTCATCTCTCGGCCACACGGCCAGAGCCCAGAGGTACACCGACAGTCACGAGCACAAAATAGTAGAAGTCATGCCGAGGCGGCGAGGGGCGTCTCTCTGGGCTTTGACTCGTCATCCGAACTTGCGCCTCCACGGGAGGCCGCGCAGGGAAGCGGCGCGCGGAGGCGAGGCGCGCGGCAGGCGACTCGGCAAAGCGGTGCCGCCTCCTCGCAGCCTGGAGAGCGTCTCGCTCACGCGTTGCTGCTCGAGGAGCAGCAGCAACGAGAGGCCGAGGCGAGCGTAGTCGCCGCGGCGGAGCAGGGCGCCCGCGAGCAGCAGCAGCAGCGCGAGCAGCCGGAGGGCCGGCTTGGCAATCCGGAGGGCGATCGGCAGCGGCGGCGGCGCGGCGGCGGCGGCAACCGAGTCCAGCGAGTAGAAGCCTCGCATCGCCATGCCCCGCTGGACACCTGCAGCGCGCAGGCGGTTGGCGGGTTACGAAGAAGGTGGGCGCGCATAGAAGTCGCGGTGCGGAGGACGTGGTGTGCCCGGGGGGGGGCGGCACTGCGTCGCGGCTTTGAAGGGCAAGAGCTAATCTCGGGCGATCTCGGGCGATCTCGCGCCTCCGAAGAGCAGGAGCGAGTCAAACGCGGAGACAAGGCTGTGCCTGTAGTTCGAGTTCGGGTTTGGGCTGGGAGGGGCCACGGGCTGTGGAGGGGGGGGGGGTCGGTTGCTTGTGGCGCGCAGACGGCGCAGCGGCGCCCCCGACGCCGACACGGCGCCACTCCCACGCTCGCTCGCCGCTCGCTGGCCCGTCGCCACCGCCCTCCGCGTCGCCCTCTGCCTCGCCCTCTGCCTCGGTCCCCGCCGCAACATTGCCCGCCCCCTCTCCCGCCGCGCCGCCCGCTGCGCCGCCCCACTCGAGCGTGTAGAGCGCCGCGCCGCACTCCCGCCCCGCGCAGCCGCCGTGGACCCACAGCGCGCCGCGGCTGTCGAGAGCAGACGCGTGGCCGAACACGCCTTCGGGAGAGGCACAGCCGGGGCGTCTCACGCTGGCGGTGGGGGAGCGGCGGAAGAGAGACAGGGCAGAAGAGGCTGACCTTGTGGCGCGGCTCCGCGCGGCTCGACACGCCGCCACGTGCCTGCGTCGCCGACGGTGGCAGCGCCGCCCTCGGCGCCTGCTTCGTCCGTGCCGCGCGCGCCTGGCTGCCGCTCGAGCTCGAGGAGCTGGCGGGAGGGGGAGAGGGGGGGGGGGGGAGCTGGGGAGGGGCGGGAGAGGGGGGGGTGCTGGGCGGGCGCGACGCCGCCGTAGAGTCTGTCCGCGTGTTGGGCGGGCGGCGGGATTGGCAAGTGCGGCTGCCCAGACGTCGGAGAGGGTTGTGGTTGTGGTTGTGGTGAGGGGTAGGGTTTGCGGTGAGGGTGCGGCTGCCCAGACGTCGGAGAGGGTTGTGGTTGTGGTTGTGGTGAGGGGTAGGGTTTGCGGTGAGGGTGCGGCTGCCCAGACGTCGGAGAGGGTGCGGTCCTCGTCCGTCTCCTCGTCGATGGCGTACCCTCCGAAGAGGAGCATCCCGCCGCACCCGTCCTCGCCGCCCTCGCCGCCCACCCACGCCGCGCAGTGCATGCACCGCGCGGGCGGCGCCTCCTCGCCGCTGCCTCCCACCGCCGGCGAGGTCGCGACGCGCCTCCAGCCCCAGCTGGTCGTGTCGAGCGCGTACGTGTCGCTCAGCTGGCGCGACCCTGCGGGAGAGAGGCGCGGCGTCGGGGAGGAGGGGAGGGGCGGCCGCACCCTCTTCGCCGCGCGTGCCGTCGAAGCCTCCGTGGATGAGGAGCGTCGCGCCGTCCGGCGCGAGGACGGAGCTGTGCCCGTCGCGGCCGCACGGCGCCTCGCCAGACGTCTCGACCCGCCGCCACGCCAGCCGAACCGCGGAGGCATTCGCGGCCGCCGCCGCGTCGTCGTCCGCGGCCGCGACGCCGTCCTCCGCGACCGCCGTCGGAGCCTCAGCCAGCTCCCACACGTCGCTCAGGAACTTACCGCTGTAGCCGCCAAACACGACCATTCGGCCGTCGGCGGTGAGGGTGGCGGTGTGGCCCTCGCGCTTGCTCGGCGGACCGGCCAGCTTGAGCTGCGCCCACTCGGAGCGCGCCACGTCGAACCGGAAGAGCTGGTTGGTCGGGTCGAACGCATTGCCGCCGAAGAGCAGCATCCAGCCCCGCCGCGGGCAAAAGACGGCCGAGTGGCCGTGGCGCGGCGTGGGCCAGCTGCCGTTGGCCGAGAGCTCCGTCCAGGTGGCCAGGAGCGAGGAGGCGAGGATGAACATCGCCAGTGGCCAGGAGTGCGTTGCTAGAAAGTAGAAACCCACGAAGAAAGCTGGCGAGGTACTCCCACGCCTCTCGGGGTTTGTCTGGCCGAGTCAACCCGAGAGCCTCGGCGAGACTGCGTCAGCTGTTCCCACAGCAGGCTGGAAGTACCTCGCCAGCGAAGAAAGGTGTATTTAATTTTTGCTTGGCTGGTTCTCTCGAGGTGGATATCCTTTGGCCGCGTTGGTTGGGTAGCGAGGATTGGTGTGACGCGATCCACGCAGGCGTGTTTTCTGGCGGCCGACCGTCAGTGCACGGAGTTGCCCCTTCTCCGACTGCCCCGGCCAGTTCACGGGTTTCGCGGGAGTGACCCCATGCGTCAAACCCGAGACCTAGCGCGGGTGGGTTGGAGGGGGCTCGCCCCGTTCCTCCCCATCGGGTCGCATGAGCGGCCACGCCTCGCAGATTCGTTTCTCGCGCCTGGGTCAGGCGCGCGGGGCATCCCCCGGGCGCTCGACCAGCGATCCGAAGAGTGGCCGCTATGCGAAGGAAAGAGTGGGGCCCTCGGGGTACGCCTCGTCCGGCCCCCTCCGAGGGGGAAGGGAATTGCGGGGTCCCCTCGGGCGCCTCAGTTCGGCCCTTGCGGCTTGCCGTTTGGCGCCTTCTTGCCCGCCTCCACCGCCTGGCAGGCAACATCGAGCGGGAGGCCGAGGCGGCGCTGAACTGTAATGCGCATCGCCCACGTCTCCATCTTCATATCATCCCGCATGGGGATCGCATTCAGGAAGGCGCCAGCCCCCTCCTGGCTGACTGCGACGAACCGAATCGCCTCGCGCCAGCACTTGTGGTTCTTGCACCTGCCAGTCTTGTAGCGGCCGCCCCGCCGGGATGCCTCGCTGACGAAGGCTTCGGCGAGGGCGAGCCAGTTGCGATGGTGTACGCCGACGGTGTACCGCCGCTGCGCCTGCTGTAAGAACTCGCTGGTAGACGAGAACTCCGGAAGAGGCAGCAGCTCCGCCGCCGGCGTAAGCTTGGGCGGGTGGTAGCGGCGCCGTCGCACCGCCTTGGTCTCCTGGAAGGGCCCGACGACGTCTTGGTATAGCGTGCGCCCGTCCCACTCGCGCCACGTCTTGCCGACCTCGTCGCGAAGGGCGCGGAGGCGTTTGTGAGCCTCCCGAAGCTCGTCGAAGCGCTCTCCCGGCGCGAGGGCCACGTCGAGGTCGCGGAATGGCTCGTGCAGCTCGCGTATCGGCCGCGTGAAAAAGAAATTTCCTAATATAGAATTTTACGGAAGAGCACGCGATTCACACGACACAAGGCGCGGGCGACGGCTTCCTCGAGGAAAGAGTCAACCAAAGAGTTTTAGATTGCCCCCTGGGCAAAGAAACGGAGGTCCTGATTTGACTCGCTCGTCCTCCAATACGGATAGCCCCCCCCCCCCCCCCTCTCCGGCTAGAGCAAGCATGAAACCAGCCAGCCCCAACCGCGGGGCCGCCGCCCCCTCGAAAGTGCTTTCAGTCCCAGTCGTCGCCCGACTCGTCCGACTCGGAGTCGCTTCCGTGCGCCGCCGCGAAGCGCCTTGCCGCGAGTGCCGCGCCGAGGGCTCCGACGAGGCTGGTGGGCGCGTGCGCGGGCGGGTCGCGAGCGGCATGCCCGGCGGCCGGCTCGCCCACCTTGCGCAGCTGGAAGCCGCCCGCCGCAATCTCGCCCAGCAGCGACTCGCGGGAGGCCGACGGAGGTTGCGGCGCCCGCTCGTTCGCGGCTGGCGGCGCGCCGCTCCCCTCGCCATCCATCGGAGCCCTGTGCACCCGTGGCAGCGGCGGAGGCGGCGGAGCGGCGGGTGGAAGCGGCGGCGGGGCGGTGGGCGGGATCGGTGGCGGGGCGGCGGCGGGCGGTAGCGGCGGCGGAGCGGCGGCGGGCGGTAGCGGCGGCGGGACGGCAGCGGGCGGGAGCGGCGGCGGGGCGGCGGGCGGTGGCGGCGGCGGTGGCGGCGGCGGTGTCGGGGCGGCGGGCCGCGGCGGTATCGTCGGCGGCGGCCGAAGCGGCGGCGGTTGCGCTCTGGGCAGGTCGGCCGCTTGCGGCGTCAGTCCGCTCGGTTTTCTGCAGGCCGTCGTCGGCGCCGGCGCAGGCGGCGGGGGCGGCCGCGAGGGGGGCGGGGTCGGACGCGGCGGCGGCGGGGGAGGCTTGGTTGGCTTGGCAGAGGGTGTTGGCGAGGGTAAGGGAGGGGGAGCGGCCTGGCGGTCCGTGACGCCCGGCAGGGGCGGCATCGCGGCCAGATCCTCCTTTGTCATCCCATGCGAGATAGCGTCGACGATTTTCCGTGCCGTCTGCTGGTCCTCGAGGTCGCGCCGCCGGACGCCGGCCGACTTGAGCAGCGCCTTCCACTCGTCTGGCAGGTTGCGGACCTCGAAGCCCCTCTCCGCGTCCCACCCCACGTGAGCCTCGTGCTTCACGTTTGTCGGCGAGCCGATTGCGAGGCTGCTGACCGCAGGTGTGGGAGCGTGAGCGCCGTCGCGCCTGCGCCCGCCGCCAAGGCGCCAGCGGCCGCCGCCGCCGCCAGTCTTGGGCGTAGGCCGCGGGGCCATCGCCGACACCTTGCGCGCAAACGCAGCGCCCTCCGACTCGGCGCTGAATGTGAGCGCGTACACGCCGGCGGCGCCGAGCTCGCACGTGTGGACGGCGTGGGTGCCGTTTATGGTTCGGCCGGCCTTGTACGTGCTCGCAAAGTCCTCGTGAATCTCCTCGTTGAGCAGCATCTTGCCGCCCGGCGTGTGGAGCTTGAAGTACTGGCAGCCGTCCAGGTCTGCGGCCCAGACGAGCACGCCCCAGCCAACCTCCGTCCAGCCGGCACCAGCAGCGCGATGCACGTTCACCACCGCCCGTGCGATGACCTCAAGCCCGACTCCGGCAGGGAAGTCGGAGAGGTTGAGGTCGACGGCGGTGTCGGAGGCGGGCATCGTCTTCGGCCTTGCTGACGGCGGCTGCCCAAGGCCGAAGTCACGCCTTCTTTGGTAAAGAGAGAATTCTTAAAATACCTGCCTCTCTCACAGCACACTGGCACGACAAGGGCGCGGACTGGCGCGGACTGGCACACACACCGGCTCACGAATTTAAGCTTGGCAGGTGTTTTTCTGTTCTTTAGGGATCGCACGACAGCGATTGTGGGGACTACATGATCCGTACGTGAAGGGTGGAGGGGCCCGCCCGCAGAGCTAGGCGGTGTGAAGAGAGCCATGGCACATAAACAAGACCATGAAGTACAGCGATCGCCAACTCGCTGGCCAGTGCTCCTCGACCGCGTTTCTCACCTTTGCAGGATTTTGCAAAAGCGAGGGGGCGGGGGCGCAGCGCGGCGCGGAGAGGGCTGAAAGCATCAAAATTTCTTTTGTTCTAAAATTCTTTTCAAGCCAGCGGAAGTAGAGGCCCATTGAGCACTTGCGCGGCTCACAGGCCAAAGAGCTTTCAGCTTGCTTACCAGCGATTCAACATGGCCGAACCCGATCGCCCTTCCAACAGTCCCCCGTCACCCTCTCCAGAAGACGACGCTGCCGTCGCTCGGTCGGCGCAGCGCAAGCAAGCCAGGCCCGCCGGGCCGCCGCAAGACCGCCGCTCCGTCGGCGACGTCACGACCGCAGGCCGGCCGCCGAAGGCGAGCGCGGCGCAGAGCGGCGCGAAGCAGCTGCCTCCGAGCCGCCTCTCCGTCGGCGATGTGACCAAGAAGCCGCCGCCGCTGTCTCGCTCGCGCACCGAGGCTCTCGCAGACGAGCAGCGCCGCCACGGCCGGTTCGCCACTGGGCAGATCATTCGCCACAGCCAGGCGACCGACGCCGAAGTTGGCGTATCCCGGCTCTCAGTCGGAGACGTCGTGCCACGCGCCGCGGCGCGGGCCTCTCGCGGCCGGCGCTGGTCTCGCCGCTTCCTCATCGCTGTCCTTGCCGGCGTCGCCATCGCTGTCGTCGGCCTCATCCTGGGGTTCAGTCTTCCCGGTGATCCGACCGTTCCCGGCGCTCCCATCACCGCCCCGCTGCCACCTTCGCCGCCGTCGCCGCCGTCGCCACCTTCCCCACCCTCTCCGCCAACGCCGCCGCCGTCGCCACCGTCGCCGCCGCCGCCCTCGCCGCCGCCTCCGAGCCCGCCTCCTCCGCCGTCGCCGCCCTCGCCGCCGAGCTCGCCCCCGATTGCGCCTGATCCACCAGCCTCACCGCCAGGGCCACCCTCATTCCCACCCCCTCCATCCTCGCCGCCGCCGCCCTCGCTGCCTCCCCCATTTGCGCCGTGGACGGGGGAAGCCTTATCAACAGTCGTTCTCGAGTTGAGCATCGGCGCTCGCGTAAACGACGGACCGGCGACGGCCGCAGACATCATCGCCGAAATCATCAAGGGCATCAAAGCACAGGACCAGCCGGAGCCCGTGTCTTTTGACGTGCTGCAGCAGCTCGAGGTGGTCGCATTCCAGCCGCCCGGCGTGAGTGATGACGACTTTGGAGCCGAGCTGTGCGGGTCCCTACCGCTCTCTTATGAGCAAGATCAGTGTACGGCAGTGCGAGATACAGGACGCCGGCTGAGCGACGAGTCTTCGCCGCAGCCATCGCCACCGCCGCCAAAGCCGCCGCCGCCATCGCCGCCGCCGCCGTCGCCACCGCCGCCATCGCCGCCGCCGCCATCGCCGCCGCCGCCATCGCCGCCGCCGCCATCGCCGCCGCCGCCATCGCCGCCGCCGCCATCGCCACCGCCGCCCTCTCCGCCGCCACCGTTGCCGCTGCCACCGTCACCACCACCGCCCTCGCCGCCACCGCCCTCGCCCCCACCGCCCTCGCCGCCGCCGCCCTCGCCGCCGCCACCACCTCCGTCCCAACCGTCGACACCGCCGCATCCTCCATCGTCGCCGCCGCTTCCACCACCGCCGTCGCCGCCACCGCCGTCGCCACCGCCCCCTTCCCCTCCACCGCCCTCGCCGCCGCCGCCCTCGCCGCCGTCACCACCAGCGCCTCCTCCGCTGCCGCCGCTACCGCCGACAAAGCCACCGCCAACCGCAGGCAACACCATCACCGAAGCCTCCCCAGCCACCATCACCTCCGCCACCGCAGTCGCCA